CGGGCTTTGTTGTCTCTTGCCCCCACAAGCCAAAGTATAGGCCACATCGCAAACCACACGATTCTGAAAGGGAGTGCAGGATGCCACATTCTACAAAGGGTTTGATCAAGGGCAAATTCTTTATCCTGTATCCTTACAAAAGGCTCACCCATTTCGAATGAAGACCTTCTGGTGGATTGAGGCTAAAGCATTAAAACTTGAGAAGAGACAGATACAGCTGCCCCGACAATTTTGCAATCGTCTAACATACTTGCACACTTAGCAATCCACTGATTTTACAAAATATAAGTCCCGGGATTCCCTTCCTTATAATTAGCTGTACTGTTATGCCAGCTTAATTGTATGTGGAATGTTGAAATTGAATACCAGCTTCTTTTCCGTTATCAGAGAAAGGGCAATTTCCTTTGCTTCTTTTCATTTCTTTTCTTCACTGTCCCATCTGATGTGCTTTAGGAACTTCATAATGGCTTATTTTTCAAAATTGCAAAACGTACACTTTGGAATTGAACAATGAAAAAGAGAAATAAAAGAAGAACTCGCTCGAAAGGGCATTTGCTCTAGTTTGTCATCTTTTACAGCAGCCCACAGGAAAACTTGGCCACCCGTCTATTATATTGACGCTGGCGACTGACCAAGATAAACTTCATAACCACAAGCCTCGGAGAATGAAGGCGGAAATAAGAAATTCACCTTGTAGAAAGCTTTAACGCTTTCTGCCGATCCCATCCCAAATAGATAAATAGAATATCAGGCTGTAAAGAAAGTCTTATCAGTGTTGTGACTTTTTCCTTTTTTAGTGTCTAACTCAACTTACGGGATTTACTCAACAATATGCTCGCCATTCTCAGCCCGTGCTCCATCTGATCGGCGCACTTCTCCCAGAATTGTGAAGGGTGCGAGTTGAGCAATGTGGCTGTCTCCCGACAATTATCATCAGACCTGCTGACAGTCATCTTAGCTGAGAACGCCTGAAGGAGGAGGAGCAGGTTGCAACATAGCACCTACATCATTGGTGGTCTTTTCTTAAAGCTTCGCTCCTCCATTTTTCCGGGTCTCCGTAGCAGTATGAGGTCCTCACGAAGGCCGTGCTCCTAGCTAGCCTCGGTCATCTTTCCTGAACTTTCCACTAGTTCCTGGCACACGTGCTAGCGGTGACCGTGTCTACAGCGCATCTCGTTGTGCAGAGTTCAGATCGAGCAGCAGAAGCAGCACAAGAGACCTTTTGGAAAGCGCGCCTAGCTTGGACTGCTCCTTAGAGTGTGGTCTTCTTGGCATAAGCTCTGTGAACAGTTTCTATCTGCACTTCGGATTCCTTTTTCCATCTAATCTTACCATTTCGATTATGGAGTGGGACCACAGTGTTTTCTGCCGACATGCCCTAGTCATAGCAGACTGGGTCTAA